AAAATGAGCCGATAAGAACCTGCCATCCATCTAATAACGGGCCACGCGCAGTTTGATCCGATTTGAACTGAGAAAAATCAAAGCCGCTAGTCCCTATAACGTAACTCCAGTAATCACTAGTAGATGAAACTATATCAAGCATTTCAATCTGCCGAACTGCTAATTGCTCTTTACTGAGGCCATGCACCTAGTAAATAGAATATTGTGTTGGAAAAAAGAACATAAAAAAAAAAATACGGGTAACGGAGTTTTTATCCTCAATTTGACGTCTGAACTTACGTTTTCTGATAAACCACGATCAGCCTTGTGAATAGTTTCTATCGTTAGAATAAACCTCGTGAAATATGGACACTGAATAATAAGAAAATGAAAAAAAATAGGAAGAGAGAAATTCAATCAGAACTTTATCGTCATACAACAGGAGAGAATTTCAATAGGTTTTAAGATGCAATTACCTTGATAACTGCATGAGGCGAACGAGATCAGCACCAAATGACCATGGTAAAAATGAAAGTTAAATTTTTTTATAGCCGAAATATGAGCCATAGCTTTCTAGCAATAACGTGAATACAAACAAGAGAATTAAAAATAATAATAATAAATAAATAAATAAATAAATAAAACGACCTGATTTACATCTCGGGTATGCATTCCAAGCTTCTTCCTGCATTACAAGAGCACCTGTTGGGGCAAATCTAGCCAACCAAGAAGGAGCCTTGCTGGAATGAACAACACAAACAAATCAGGAAAAAAAGGGAAATAAAACTTACACTTTCACTAGCAAAATAGAAGATCAAAGGACAATTTCAATGGCCATAACTCAAAACTAAAGCCACAATGCCACTAATTCAGTTTACAAAAAACACACATTACTTGACTATAAAGACAGAAAATGCGCTATCCAGTGCTTGTACCTAACATCATATGAAACCAATCAAAGATGCAACAAATTCATAACTTTGTGTGCAAAGCATTTCATTTCAATGTGCCCCATAAACTATTTTACCTCTGAAACCTATAAATTTTCAACGTGTATTGACCTTTCCCATAATCGTCATCTTCGAAAGATCTGTTCTCCAACACTTCCACCCCCTCCGAACCTGTCGTGTTCTGTTGCTGCATTTTCATTACCATGTACATTTGAGCTATTTGAAACTGCAATTCGAACACAAACAAAAAAACAAAAATGAACAAAAACAATCATTCAATTGCATCATAGTAATTACGGCCAAAAGAGATTACGACCCATCAAATTCTTGATTACCTCTTCTAAAGACAGTGGCATAACAATCCGACTTTTAGAAACAAACCCGATTTCGGATTACGCATTCTGGTTAAGGAAAACACAAAGAAACACATGGAAGAAACCTTAATTATCCAAAAAGAACCCTGGAAAGATGAGAACTTTGGCCACACACTTGTTAACATTTCAAGGGGCATCAATAAATTAACAGACAGGAGGAATTGCACGAGTGAATAATCTTAAAATCCACAATATAAGAGCAGAAAATGGAACAGTAAACAGATAGACATGAGCATGAGCTTCTGAAACAAAAATCATTCCATCCCAGGATGAATAATGGAACCATAAATTTATACCAAGAACCAAAAACAAAACACACACACACAAACACGAAGATGTAAAGATTATTGGAGCTTCTAGAAAGCTAACAGAGGATACAACTCTTTCATCTGAACCATTTTATCTCTCAGAGTCCCAATTAGCCCTTCAACTTTCTTCCGCTGAAAAAACCCGCAAAATCAATGGAAAATGAGGGGCCAATAGATTATGATATGGGCAGGAACAAGAATGGAACTTGATGAAGAATATTGAGAAAAGACTGTATAATTTACAGGTTATGATTATTATTGTGATTTTTAGAGGCTCCACTCGGTGGTAGGGACGCGTGTACGTGTCGCTCGGAGTTTGTGTTGTTGATTTTTGTTTGCTTTTTTCTATTGGGAAACTTGAAACAGAGAATTCAACGTTGGGTTGCGGTCCGGCCAAATGTCAAGCGGTCAAGGTGCGTGTCCTTTGCCTTTTCAGTTATCACAACATTTTTTTATTTTATTTTTTTATCTAAAACAAAGGCCATTTGCACAAAATACATTATACATCATGTTTACTCATTTAGCTATTTAATCACAATTATACTACTAGTCACCCGTGCGATGTACGGAGATATTATTATCTAGAATGTTTTTAGAAAACAATTTTGTATATAAATTGTGTTATGCATGCAATGATCATGATCATAATAATAGACATATAAACATATCATTAAATTGAAAACATCATATATTATTGAACACTTCCCTATATACAACATTATTGGTTTGATTCTTTGGCACGTCATCTTCACCACAAATTAAGATTATTTTCAAACCTTTTCGATTAGTGACACGGGAAACAGCACATATAACTGGCCATGACTGAACACTGATTTATTAAGAAATAAGTCAACATGAGATAAGGATTGTCCCTGACTCTTGTTTATAGTCATGACATAAGAAACCATAATGGGAAACTGTCGCCGCTGGAACTTCAAAGGAATTCTAACATCAGAAGGAGTTATGACTATTCTTGGAATCAACACCTTATCCCCAGCATGATCTCCTGTGAGTATCTTACACTCAAGAACGTGAGTCGATAGCTTTGTCACTACCAATCGTGTCTCATTACACAAACCCATAGAATGATCCATGTTCCGCAACAACATGACTGGAGTTCCAATCTTCAAATACAACTCATGGTTCGGTATTCCGGGAACACTTGATACTATTCAAAAACTTAGGCGTATGGAGATCAGACAAAAAATCATTATTAGAATCCGATTTGCACGTACTGTCAGAGCTCAAGTACATACGACCATCCAACAAATTCAATGATGTCATGTACTGATTGATAGAATCGACCACATACAACATCGGCGCTAATATAGCCCTATCCTTCAAATAACTTGGATCGTCGTGTGCCTCTTTATACATTGGATATGTGCTTTCAACTATCTGAGCAATAGGATCATCAGATGGCTGAAGAAAAATGTCCTCGGGTATGTCTATAGGTGCACATCCATCATTCAACCCTCCGATAGTTCCATCTCCGATGTTGACTATCCAATCTGCAAACCGTGCAAGCTCATCACGTTCATCCAAATTAGCAAGTCCCTGAAGGCGCATTTTTTCGTAAGCCTAAGCACAGTACAACTCCTCCATATGTCAGAAGAATTAATAGCAGCATTGACTATGTCCTCGGCTACCCTTTAGAATGACAGGAAGGATTTGTCGAAAATCTCCACAAAAAACAACCGACTTCCCACCAAACGGTTTGTTCAAGTTCAAAAGTTCAATTGCTCCCATAATACCCTGCAGCGATGTCTGTACAGCTTCGAAACAATGCTTGTGCATCATTGGTGCTTCATCCCATATTATTAGAGAAGCACGAATTATCAATGGTGGATCTATACATTCCGATATTACTCTTGACTTGATAGTTTCGAAATGCATAGACAACACCTTCTTCGAATTCATTGATGAAAGTTGGGATGTTGATTGCTTTACTATTCCAGTAATTCGACCTCCCTGAAAAAAAAAAGAAAAATAATATTAGATATTAGATATTATAATTAACATGATGAGAAAAATGGATAATCATTATTTTTTATTATGAATTAAACCTCAATGTCATGGAAGACAATTTCAAGGATGTTCTTGTAGGATGAGTATTGATTAGTCATTTGGAAAACTCGAACCACCCTCAACTTGAGCATTGACATGTTGATCCGTGTTACTTGCTTGATGTTTCCCCATGCTCTTGCCATTTTTCTGTTTGTATGTGAAATTGTAGTGTGAGATTTTTGTGATACGTGATATAGGCTCCGACGTTTATTTTATAGCCATGGGATGAAAGTAGATAACCATTAAATGATAAGATTAGTTAGACTCACGTTAATCTCTCTTGATAAGATTCATTGCACGTGATTTTAATTTCAGAGTTCCAATAAATTCAAACTCTAATATCATGATAAGATTAGTAAAACGTGATTTATCAGATTGTTAACTCTAGATTTATCCACCGTAGGACTCTGCATTTGTTATGTTTTTTAAATGAATGACATTGAATTCAAGTGGAATATATTTCGGTCAATCCAAACACAAATGATTATCACGTTGGTATGGACCGAAATTTTTATGATGATAAGATAAGTGGAAAGTAGTTAAGAAGTGGAGATTTTTGTGTGATAGCATCATTATATAATTACCATCACCATCAACCTTTCCATTAAATTTCGGTCCATACCAACGTGATAAAAAAAAATTCTTGAAAACTTTTTTACGTCAAACAAATAATATAATTACGTCAAATATTTTGTACGTCAAAATTTTAATTCAAACAAATCTTTCCATCTTTTTACGTCAAGATTTTAATAATAATAATTTATATATAACACAAATTAAAATAAATATTATAATCAAATTCATATTTATGAATATAATTCATTATGATAAATTATTGAAAAATCACGCAATATAATCCATTAAATGTACTTGATTTAGTTATTGTTAATTCCGTAAATTTTTTTGTTCAAATAAAAAATACACCAATTTTGAATTCAAATGGAATTCAAAGAGTGATACTCGATCAATAAAAACCTAAAACAATTTTGAAATCAAATTGTAATTTTCAACCTTATCATGTATGATGAAAAGATAAGTGCAAAGTAGTTAAGAAGTGGAGATTTTTGTGTGATAGCATCGTTACATAATTAACATATTTCCATTAAATTTCGGTCCATACCAATGTGATACAAAAAAAATTGTGGAAAAAGTTTTTACGTCAAACAAATATTATAATATTTTACGTCAAAATTTTACGTCAAACAAATCTTTCCATCTTTTTACGTAAAAATTTTAATAATAATAATTTATATATAACACAAATTAATATAAATATTATAATCAAAATTCATATTCATATTTATGAATCTAATTCATTATGATAAATTATTGAAAAATCACGCAATATAATCTATTAAATGTACTTAATTCAGTTATTGTTAATTCCGTAATTTTTTTTATATAATCTTATATTCGAAATATTTATTAAAATTTGTATTAATTTATATCTTGTATCATGGAATTCTACCAATTTTATACTAATATACAGTAGAACTCAAAAATAAAATGTTCAAATTTTCACATTCATGCGACATTTAATAAAAAAGAATATCCAACGACATTTTATAACGATAACAAATATAATAACACTAAAATTTATTATAAAATTCGGAATTCAATGACATGGAATGAAATTAAAATTCATAATAACCAAACTCTAAATATCATAAATATCTCCTGCTCCTTGCTAATGTTGAGGGAAAATATCAACATTTTGAGGAAAAATCCCACCATATTTGATAACATGAGTTCTTCCATAAATTTATAAATATGAATTAAAATATTTTTTAAAATTACATAAATTTGATATTACAAATATAAATATTTACCTGTTCATCATGAAACAGTATATGGAATGCGTTCCAGCTCTCCCGTTGGTGATGCGTTTCAACTATTAGGACTGCTTTCAAGTGCAAAAAAGGCTTGTTTCTCCTACTCACGGAATCGAGTGTATCCCAGACTGGCGGCATTTATTATCAATGTGTTCTGAAATTTATCTTTTTTTTTTTCTCTGTAAAATTTATCTCGGTTTTTTTTCTCTGTGAATGACGTGAACTTTTTTTTTTCTTTTCCTAAACTGTGAATGACGTGAATTGTTGAGTAGTGGTAGTGCATATGATTTTATACCAAACAACCGTTTTTGAACTAAAGATTCGCATAATTATGTAATAATAATTATGGATCCAATTGTGACTTATCCACATATCCCTATAATATCTCTAATCAATTAATTTTTGAATTAATCATGTAATGATAATTATGGATCCAATTGTGACTTATCCACAATCCCAATAATATCTCTAATAAACAAATTTTTGAATTGAAGTATGACTTTTTTAAAATTTCGTGTATTATAAATGCAGTAAATATGGTTTCTATATTTAGATTGTCAAAATTTTTTTTTGGTCAAAAGTTTCTAAAAAGGTATTTTAACAACAACCTTTTTATATATATATATATATATAGATATCATGTTTACTCATGTAGCTATTTAATCACAACTTTTACTCCTTATCAATTTAATACACCAATTTAAAATTTTTAGCAATAGAATGCACTTTAACTTCCATTGACAGAAAGATGATGTTGTTGTAAATTGGGATCCTCAAGTTATTCATCAATCCACACCAAACAAAGTAAAGAGAAACAAGC